ACAGCCCCTAGAGAAGGGTGTGGCGAGGATTCTAATGCTCCTATACCTTCCCAAACAACATTCCTTAGAGCTAATGGAGGGTAGCTTCCCTGTAGATAGTGCCCATTCTACTGGAAGATCAAATCCCCACCTACTCCCCCTCTGAGCCGTCATAACTTTTGCAATTGTAAGTTTCATGACTTTTATAATCCTTGCCCAGTGCATGATGTCTTAAGCCTTGTAAATCCCACTTCCTCTAGGCAAGCTTGATTGCTGCCATGAGATACCTCTGATACCTGGCACCAGGAAGTCTGTTTCTGAAAAGACAAAGTCCGCAAAGTTAATTTTACCTAAAGTGTGCATTTCTCCAAAAGCATGGCTTCTACTTTCTCATCAGTGTCAGGGTTTAAGAACAAGATGAAAAATGGTTTCCCACTCTAGGTCTGTCCTTTCAGTACCTGCTGGTGAAAAGGCACTAGGAAGATGAAGACACCCTGCAGCCTGTTGTTGATGGTGAATAGGTAGGTGATGGCATGGCAGCTGGGCCCACTTGCAGGATGCCCAGACACCACGTGCAGCCCAAGATGAAGAGCTGAGCAGTTGTACCCTGGGTTGGATGAGAAAGGCCTGTGATACACGCAGAAAAACAAATTTAGGGTATTTCATCCCCCCATGGACATCTCTGTTCTCCCCCATTGGTGATTCCTCAGAGTGAGTTTTGGTCAACTTATATCTTTAATGTTGATGATTCCCCACAAAAGAAAAACTATTTGGGTCCAGTAAGGCATTTTGACTTGGACTGAGGCAGGTAGTAACATTTCATAATATGGGTTTCAAAGGGAATTTGATGATCGACACACAAGAATCAGTTGTAAGTCTATACACTAACAATGAACAATCCATAAAGGAGATTAAGAAAACAATGCTCGGTGGCTCACCCTGTAATCCCACACCTTTGGGAGGCTGAGGTGAGTGGATTGCCTGAGCCCGCGGGTTCGAGACCCGCCTGGGCAGCGAGACCTCATCTCTACAATAAATCAAAAAATCAGCTGGGCGTGGTAGCGCATGCCTGTAATTCCGGCTACTCGGAAGGCTGAGGCGGAAGGATCGCTGGAGCCCAGCAGGTCAAGGTTGTGGTGGCCAGGAGCGGCCACTGCACTCCAGTCTGGGTGACAGAGTGAGACTCCAACTCAAAAAAAAGAAAAGAAAAAAATTCTATTTACAATGGTGCCAAAAATAATAAAATACTGGGAATAAATTTAACCAAGGAGATGAAGAACTTGTACACTAAAAGTATAAAAGCATTGCTGAAATAAATTAAAGAAGACACAAATGGAAAGACATCCCATGTTCATGGACTGAAAGATAATAATAATATTGTTAACATGTCGATACTACCCAAAGCAATCTGCAGATCCAGTTTAATCCCTCTCAAAATCCCAATAGCATGTTTTGCAAAAGCAGGAAAAAAAAATCCATCCTAAAATTCATATGAAATCTCAAAGCACCCTAAATAGCCAAAATAATCTTGAAAAAGAACAAAGTAGGAGATCTCACATTTTTCCTTATTTCAAAACGTATTACAAAACTATGGTAATCAAAACAATGTAGTAGTGGCATAAAGACCAGATATATAGATCAATAAAATAGGAAACCCAGAAATAAGCTCTAGAAATAACAAGCACATGACTTTTGACAAAGTGCAAAAACTATTCAGTGGGGAAAAGAGTCTTTTCAACAAATGATGCTGGGAAAACTGGACATGCATTTGCAAAAGAATGAATTTGGACCCTTTCCTTACGCCATATACAAAAACTAACTCATAACAGACAGAAACCTTATATAAAAGTTCAAGGAATAAAACTCCTAAAAGAAAACATAGTGGAAAAGCTTCATGACATCAGATTTGGCAATTATTTCTTGGATACAACATCCAAAGCACATAAAATAAAAGAAAAATATATAAATTCAAATACATCAAAATTTTTAAAAACTTCTGTGCATCAGATACAGAGGGAAAAGGCAACCTGTGGAACGGGAGAAAATATTTGTAAATCTAATAAGGGGTTAATATCCAGAGTATATAAAGAACTTCTACAACTCAACAGCAAAACACCTGATTTTAAAATGGGCAAACAATTAGACATTTAGCCACAGTTGATATACAAATGGCCACAACTAAAAGAAGGCAAACCCCAGTGCGTGTTTTTCCAGTCTCTGCTTCAGTCATGTTTGCCAATGTCCCATCGGCCAAAGAAAGTCCCAAGATCAACTTCAAGGAATGGAGGAATATGCTCCACCTCTTGATAAGAGGAGCTGCAGAGTCATATGGGAAAGTGATATACATTGAGGAATAAAAGAAATTATTGTAACAATCACCTACCACTGAATCATTACTCACCAAGGATATGTAAATTAAGCCTGAGAAACCACTATAATACCCATTACCATAGCTAAAATTAATTTGACAGTGCCATGTGTTGCCAAGGATGTGATGCAAATGAAACATTCATTCACTAATGACAAAAGAATAAATTGCTTCAACCACATTGAAAAACTGTTCAGCAGTATCTGCTAAAGCTAATTCCCCAAAGACCTAGCAATTCCACTCTTACGTTTACACCCAAAAGAGATGAATACATATGTCTGTCCACATTAAAAGTTAGCAAGAACATTCACAGTAGCTTTATTCCTAACACCAAAACCTGCAGCACTACTCACAATAGCCAAATATGGAAATCGACCTTATTGCCCATCCACAGATGAATGGGTAAAGGAAATGTGGTATATAAACACAATAGAATACTAGTCAGTCTTAAAAAGGAAGAAATTCTTGTCATTGCAACAACATGAAGCTGGAGGACAGAACTCAAATGTCTGTAAACAGAAGAATATAATTTTCAATTGTGGAATATTCAAAAAATGGACTATTACACAGCAATTAAATAGAATAAACTACTGATAATGCAACATAGATAAATCTCAAAGACACTGTTTTAAATGAAAAAACGGACAGGAGAGGCCTGTTGTGTATGGCTCCATTTCCATGAACAAGAGAACAAATCTACAGTGATAGAAGTCAGAATAGTAGTAACTTCTGGGGATAAGTTGGTGCCCAAAGGGAACTTTTAGGATAGTGAAATATTTTCTATTATAATGGGGAAAGTAATAAGTACAGCTATATATAAAACTTGTCAAGGTGTACACTAAGATTTATGAACTTTTATGTAAGTTATACATCAACTAAGAATTTTAAAACACAAAAAATAGAAGCCTGTGAGAATGAGTGAAAATGGAGAATGATTCCCTGGCTCTGCCATGCAGGTGACCTTAACTCACCTTTCCTTGCTGGGTCAGTTAGTTTCCTCATCTGTGAATTAGGGATGATAACAGTACCTACCTCAAAGTCATTGTGAGGACTAAATTCAAAGATGCAAAGCTTCAGGCAGTGGCTACTATCTATTAATAGTAAATGCTAAATAAGTATTTGCTGTTGTATTTGTTACTGTAATGAATGATTGGATTTTCACCACTAGGGAAAAAGATAGTCATTTTATAAGAATAAAAGTAACAATTCACCAGAAATGTATAAAATGTCAAAATCTCTTCATTTAATTCCATTGCTTCAAAATATAAATTTAAAAATTGGCAGAATGACAAGACTTATTCAACAATCCACAATCATGATGGGAGAGTTTAACATATCTCTCAGTAAATGACAAATCAGAGATTAGAATTAATGTGTCAATGGTTTTTAAACACAGATATATGCTCCATGCTCCATCTAGCAGACATATGTAGAATACAATTCATTGATTTCAGTCACCCATGAAGCATTTCTAAAAACTGATGTATATTAAGTGTATCAGTTAGGGATTTCATTCAGCCAAAAGAAAGCCACTTCCCACCAAAAAACAACAACATCTTGTACTAGTAAGATGTGCATGTTTTTCACGTAAAGGGACATCCAGAAATAACAGTTCAGGGCTGGTGTTGTCACACAAAGATACTAACTATAAATATATTCTAAGTATATTTTAGATTAGGGAACCATGATGGTGTGGCTTCTAGTTGTGGCTGTGGTTTTTACCCTTATGATCACAGGTGGCTCCTCTAGCTCTGGACACCATGTCTGCTTGTCCAAAAAGCAAGAAGTAGAGAGATCTGGCTACACGAAATCATTTCTGTGCAACATCTTTCCCTGGAGTCACATGTGGGGACTTCTCACACTTCTGCTGGCCAGACTAGGGAACTTGCTGCCTTGTCTGAAGGGGTTGGGAGGTTTTTAAATAGTGCACATCACCAACCTGAACAAAACACCCAGATGCTTTTTTTTTTTTTAGTCAAAGTTTCACTCTGTACCCCAGGCTGAAGTGCAGTGGCTCACTCACGGCCACTGCAGCATCGACCTGCTGGTGGGCTCAGGCGATCCTTCTGCCTCAACCTTCCAAGTAGCTGGAACTACAGGCACACACCACCACGCCTGGCTAATTTTTTGATTTATTGTAGAGATGAGATCTCACCAAGTTGCCCATGCTGGGCTCAAACTCATGGGTTCAGGCACCTCAGCCTCCCAAAGTGCTGGGATTATAGGCGTGAGCCACTGCGCCCCACCTCCCAGGTGCTTTTCTAAGAAAGAAGGGAAAATTTTGGTCAGCAGCTAGCAGGATAAGCCACACTAGACCTAATAGAAAATCTCAGTATCTAAGATTCAATAACACAAAGGTCCTGCTCACCATGTAACTAACAAACCTACAACAAAAAGGCAACTAAGAAACAACCATATAACAGGCAAGAAACTTCCAGAGAGATAAAGTCATTCTATATCTGGAATGGGGTGTTGGTCACATATATGTATACATCTGTCAAACTCAGCCAACTGTACACTTAAGTTGTATACATGTAACTATAAGTCATTATACCTCTATGGAAATATATCCAGGTACTAGTATTGCGAAATCTAATTCCAAATAATGTGTGGGTCAAAGAATAAGTGGTAATGGAAGTTGAGACAATATATGAATTAAACCAAAATGAAAATATTATACATTGAAACACAGGATCTAGCTAATAACTGATAACCTCATATGTTTGGATTTTTACAAACCAGAAGTTAATTAGCAAGGGGCCCACAGTACGGATGAGACACAGACAAAGGCAGGCCTTCATTCCGAATGTTCTCTCTCCCCAGATGGGTCCTTTTGTGCACAGTGAGCGAGGAGCTGTGCCTGAAGGCCTTCTCACACTGATTACATTGATAGGGTCTCCCCGCAGTGTGCGTTCTCACATGTACAATGAGATGCGAAGACTGACCGAAGGCTCGCCCGCATTCTTGGCATGTGTAGGGCTTCTTGCCACTGTGAGTCCTTGCGTGCTTCCTGAGGGAGGAGGGTTCACTGAAGGCTCGCCCACACTCCTGACATGCGTAGGGCTTCTCTCCAGTGTGAGTTCGCATGTGACTCTTAAGGGTCGAGAGACGGCTCAAGACCTGCCCACAAGTCCCGCACTCGTACAGCTTCTCCCCTGTGTGTATTCTCTTGTGCACGTTCAGGTGTGTACTTGTCCGGAAGGGCTTGCCACACTGGTTGCATTCATATGGTTTCTCTCTGGTGTGAGTTCGTAGGTGTGTCTTCAGTGACGAGTGTTCCCGGAAGGCTTTCCCACACTGGCTGCATTCAAAGGGCTTCTCTCCAGTGTGAGTTCTCACGTGGCTCCTAAGGGAGGATGGCTGATTGAAGGCTTTCCCACAGTCTTTACATTCATAGGGCTTCTCTCCTGTGTGATTTCTCTGGTGCAAAATTAGGTTAAAGTTCCTCGTGAAGGTCTTCCCACACTGACTACATTCGAAGGGCTTTTCTCCAGTATGTGTCCTCATGTGTCGCCTCAGATTCGAAGAATATTTGAAGGCTTGTCCACATTCTTCACATTCAAAGCATTTCTCTGTGGTGTGAGTCTTCTCGTGCCTGATGAGGTCAGAGCTGTATCTGAAAGACTTCTGACATTTATTGCATGCATAGGTTTTATCCCCAATACGGATCTTCTCAGGCATAATTAGGTGAGCACTCTGGAAGAAGGAATTTCCACTCTCTTGGCATTCATAGGGAGCCTCTCCAACATGAATTCTCTGGTACTGAAAAATCGGTTCCATGCTGTCAAAAGGTTTCTCAAGTTCATCATCATTATAGAGCTTTCCTCCTGACTGAAGTTCCTCCTGTCAATTAAAGAAAATGTGAAAACCAAAGGCATTATTACATTAATAGATATTCTCCCTCATGTGAATTGAATGTAGGAGAAAGATGTTCCTGTATCTGGAACCTTTACCATTTTAGTGAGTCCATACTGTTTCTACCCAGAGTTCTCTCAGGTGGAATGGAGGGATGCTCTGCCACAAAGAGTTACCTTTTCATTGCTTTCATGGAGCCTCTTAGATGCAGGGTTTTTCTGAATTGTTTAAGGCTAAACTAAGTTTCAAACACTCAACATCTGTGTCCTGTGTGAAAATGATTACTCGTGGGAATTTTCTGAAGACACAAGTCTTGATCTATGTTTAGAGCATTCTGCTAATTCATGACATTCACAGACCCTCTCCCAAGAAACTGCTTTCGCCTGGCCAGGCACTATTTGCCTCAAACTCTCTTGGTTCTTGTGCTGCTTTTCTAACTTACAGCAGCCCCAGACTCTTTCTACTACAGAGGACCAAGAAAAATCCCTGGTGAACCTTACCCTTTTCGTGTCAACACTCGGGATCTCCGCAAAAATATCTTGTCTATAAATTGACTCCTGGGGTTGAAGTTGAGGTTCTGAAATAAATTGGGAACAGAATTAAATGCACAGAGGGAAAAAAATGTGGAATCAAGGTGAACAAAAAAATAAGTGAGGTTGTGTGGATTTTTTCCAAATATTGATCCTAAATATAGGAAGAAGTTTCAAAGAAGAGGAACGTATCAAAGAGTGAAGGAAAATTTTAAGGTACTCAGCTACATGAGGAGTTATGTAACCATAGGAACAAGGGATGGAAATAGTAGTTAATTTACTGAGAAAGGATTCTATGAAGACTGTGACTGACATTGAAGAAAAACATTAGCAAGGATATACAGTGAAAGGAACTGGGCAAAATATGTACACGGAAACATTATATATGAAGAAGATGTAGGACAAAGTTTTCTATAAATCAGAGTAAAATATAAGTGATAAAAAGGAAAAGGAAGAGCCGGGCTCAGTGGCTCAACCTGTAATCCCATGCCTTTGGGAGGCTGAGGTGAGTGGAT